AGTGATTCTCGAGTATTGAACGATTCGTTCACGAATCGAACATCACTACTCGCCACACACCACTCCGCACAGCACACTACGGCAGAACATCCCATTAGCATTCCGCTTTAGCATACAGTTTTACACAATAATAAACAAATGAAAAGTACATAAAACTGGTGTTGGAAATGTGTCCACTAACCACTTATTACACTCGGTGCCCATCAGTTAATCAAACATGTTTCGTGTGTCTGTACTACTTAGCTACATTGTGTCCGAAACAATACACCTACAACTCACGTATGGCTAGACTGGCAGCGATTACTGCAGCCAGCCTCACCTAACCAGCCACACCGAGAGGGGGCGCTGTTTCCCCATTACACTGAAATTTGTGGCAAGTGGAATAATACCACGTAAACACTGTTACACCCAATAGGGCATGCATAGGTATCATGAAGGAATGGGAATAATTAAAACAGAACATGTTGCATCATATTCAGAAAAATCATTTTTCTTTCATGTTTTGCTGGGTTTAAAAGTCATCTCTTTACAAATGTGAAATTAGCAGATGAATAAATATGTTTGTATGAATGAATGAATAAGTATGTTTCTATCAATATGCTAGATTTCTCCTTGTATTTCTGTGTTTAATCCTTATTATGGTCAACAGCACTTACTTTGTGAAGATTTTGTTTTTAATTAATTTTTTCCCTATTTGATCTTTTTTAGGGTGGAATGGGAGGAGGAATGGGAGTGAGTATATATATGTAATATCAAAATGATACAAATTAATTTACCACAGCTTTTTCATGATTACAGTCATTCCCTGCTTTTCAACAGGGAGGATATCCAGGAGGTGGCATGGGGGTATGTTACTTTGGCTGAGATGTGTTTTGCATTCTGTTTCTTTAAATATTACTGTAGTGAGATAAAGTGTGCATATATTTAATTTGAACTGCACCGTGCTTCTTTTGACATCCAGGGAGGTTACCCAGGTGGCATGGGAGGAGGGATGGGAGTAAGTGTACTGAGTAATTGTACATTTGCTTTTGATAAGATCACTGTAATTTTTCAATTGCCACTTTAGAATTCATGTTATTCAACATTCATATTTGAACCTTTCAGCCAGGAGGATATCCAGGAGGTGGCATGGGGGTATGTTACTTTTACTGAAGCATGTTTTGCATTCAGATTCTTTAAATATTACTGGAGCTGTAGTGAGAGAAAGTCTGCACATTTGAACTGCACTGTGTTTCTTTTGACATCCAGGGAGGTTACCCAGGTGGCATAGGAGGAGGAATGGGAGTAAGTGTACTGAGTAACTGAACATTTGCTTTTGATAAGATCACTGTAATTTTTCAAGTGCCAC